GATTTGAATAATTTGCTAGAGAAGCTCATGGAACTCAGGGAAACACTATACTTAGATTTACTGATTTCTTATAAGGAATATTTTAAAGGATAAGAATAAGAAGCCAGATGAAGAGACACATAGGGTAAAGTCTGGAAGGGTCCCAAGCTCAGAAGCATCCATCTCCATGGAGTTGTGGTTGGCCATCCTCCTGGCAAGTACATGCATTCTTGTCCATTTTCCTGTAAGACTCCATATGTTCAGCTGTCCAGAAACTCTCTGAACACTATTCTTTTGGGTTTTATGAAGAATTCATTGCATAGGCATGACTGAAAATTGGACAACCATATAAAAATGTGATTGGACAAAACAGGTGTGATCTAAGGCCAATAGAGCAATAGAGTAGATGGGGAAACACAGCAAGGTCTCTCTGTTCAGATTCTTTTTATTTAATTATTTTTTTGTAGTTGTAGATGGACAGAATGCCTTTATTTTATTTATTTTTATGTGGTGCTAAGGATCGAACCCAGTGCCTCACACATGCTAGGCAAGCACTCTGCCTTTGAGTTGCAGCCCCAGCCCCTCTGATCAGATTCTTTAGCATTCCTTGAAAATATAGAAAAAGACCCCTTCTGAAATGGAGATCTAGTCATCTGTACCAGACAAGGTAGATCAGAGGTTTCTTTTTGGCTAGTGGCTGCAAGGTAAGGGAATATTGGAGTTTCTATGACTTGCCTGAGTGGTGAGAAATTCTAGTACGTATGGTCAGCCTTCCATATAAAAAGGAGCAGTGAAGGAGGTGGGGGGGGGAGAGAGAGTGAGAGGGGAGATTTTGTTTTCTGAAGTGTCCTGCAGTGTCCCAATATTATTCCGAAAGCTTAGGAAATAACAACCATGAGAGTAATGAACCAGGAACTGTGGGTGAAAACCAAAAAATATACACCTTATTGCACAGATGCTGTGCTAGGCTCTTTTAAGATACCTCTACTTCAGCCATTTWAAAGTAGAAATTATTTTTCAGATAAGGAGACTGAGGAATAAATACGTTCAATAACTTAACTGAGGCCATGCACATAGTGGGTGGCAGAAGCAAAACCAGGCATTAAACCCCAACTATTTCCATTAAAGTACAAGCTGTTGGTGCCCTGCAGTGCCTATTTGTCACCTTTCCTTTCTTTCAGAATCCTGGTTTTGTTAGGATGTCCCCTCTCCTTTGTGCTGCCACCCCAGTGATTGCAGAGCAAAAGAAGCCTGGGCCCCTGAGGACTCTCAGTACTGCCATGCCATTCCAGTTGGATGACTTTGCTTCCTTTCATTTATTTTTTTCCCCTTTATTTTAGTCTGGAAAATAACTCTTAAGCTAAGTGATTCTAGAACTGCTGGGGTTCTTGAATCAAAAAGGAAAGATAGTTGGAAGGCAAACTTTCCTTTCCTTCCAAACCATTGCAAGTATTATAGAAACCCAAACCAGATCCCTACAACAGGCATTATGTGGTTATGGTAGGGATGGCTTACACAGCCAGTGGAGGACAGCTTGAGCAGAAGAGCCTGTGAGTCTGAAGAACTTCAGCCAGCAGTGTGGTGGCTGAGTTCCAGGAAGACTGACACATCAAGAGAGCAAGCTTGTGGCTTCTTAAAGACAGAAGCCCMGACAGCTCTGTGCTTCACTACTTGCCCAGGGTCAGTATTTCCCCATAGTCCAAAGCACTTAATCCCCAAGTGGAAATCCAGGGCCTGTGCATTGTCACATCCCACAAGCTAAGAAGATCTCTGCTCTCAGTCTGTGTTAGAAATCCGATTACTATCAGGGAACTCTTCTCCCTGATGCCTTTCTCACTGCTTTGCTGTTGATCTTGTCACCTGGCTTCTGTACCTTCACATCCCCACCTCTCACCATTTAGCAGTCTTAAGACAGGCTAGGGAGGAGGGTGTCTGATTGCCCAGCTTACTCTATTCTGATCTTGGAATCCTCTAATTTTTTTTTTAAATCTCCTTAGAGTTTTCTGTAATCTTCAAAGCTGTGCTCTGACTTAGGCCTTTGGATAGCCTATCATTGGCTGTGCCTCTGGATCCACAAAGGCTTTGATATGACACTCCAGAGGCCTAGAGCTGTGGGAAAAGTGAGTTAGCCCAGCTTTCACAAGGACTGATTGGTCCCACTTTAGTTTCTACAGCAATGTGGCAACAAGTTTTACCCATGAAATCTTTTGTTTCAAGAGAGTAGTGTTGACTGGTATTCATGGTAAAGTGAAAACCTTAAGCTAATTTGGGAATTGATGGGACTCTGTTAATTCCTTGTATAAATGTGGGATCTACTTTCTGCACTTCCAGGTCAGGGACTTGGGTGGGACACCTGGAGCCTCCTTTGATCTCTAAATTTTCTAGAACCAATTTTTTTTCTCGCTCTCACTTTAATATCCTAGGAGAGAGAACAAACAGCAAAGGCCATGTCTGGAAGCAATTTGGGTGGGGAAAGGATTGTCTCAAGGCCCACCCAAACCTATTCTCTTTTGCATAATTTGCCCAGAAATCGAACTTCTAGAAAAACAACTGGATTGCAAAGCATTCCAGACTCAAAATGGATAGATGATCAGAATCTGAAACTACTATTTTTTCTTTAAGGGAATATTTCAAGGGGAAGTGTAGCACCAAGAGAGTTGAATGCCTGCCCCTTAGCTCCTAATGAAGACAAAGAGGGAATTAAGGTCACTGTGATTGTGTACATAGCCAGAAGCCACATCAGTCTCCACTACTGTTGCTAGTGTTCTGTTCTTCACCTCCTATGGCTCCTGACTCTTCAGTCTGCAGTTGCATCAAGGTCAACTCTCAGTTCCTTGTATGCCACCCCCCCCACACACACACACAATGAAACCTATATTGACTAGCCAAAACACAGGAGACCTAGAGCAGCCCCCATAAAACCATATGGGGCTAGCTTGTACTGCAGCCCATTCACATTGTGAATGTACACCATTTGGACTTTCACATGAGAAGTTAATGTCCATTTTGTTCAAGCTGTGACTAATTGAAAAGTTATGAGAAGCCAAGAAAGAAGCAGATGAATGCGGCTGGGGTTGTTGCTCAGTGGTAGAGTGCTTGCCTAGCACACATGAGGGTACCATCCTCAGCACCACATAAAAATGAGATAAAGATATTAAAAAACAGAAAAGAAGGAAAGAAGCAGATGAATTAGGTGCAAAGTACAAGAAGCTCAGTGGCATTTCATGGGCGCAAGAAGGTGATAGATAACTTTCTCTCCACATCACACTGGTATGGAGCCTTCTCCTGGTCTTTTAGGCCTGTAGCTTTCCCACAGTTCAGTGTCCTCTACTCCCCCCAAAACTTGACCTTGGGAACATATTTAACATGCCCTGACCTTCAACCCCACAAGACTTTGTGGGTCTACACCCAAACCAACAACTACAGACATCTGACTCTCTATTCAGATCTCAGTAGAAAGAAACAGTTTCTGACCAGTTCGTGGATCTGCTGTTTTGGAGTTGAGTGCTGGTTCAGTCAGCTCTGGTGGTAGGGAAACCTGCCAATTGAGGGCCATGGAGGGACCACTTTCTTTGACATGTTTCCCTAAGAGAGAGAAAACAGGCAACTAGAGAGAAGACAGCTTTGTTGGYTTTACAGATTCATGGGCTTCTTGATTTTTCTTTCCCAAAGTAGCCCAAATCCCTTCCTGTGTGAATCTCTCCTTGGAAGGGGATAGTACCATCAGATAGGTTGGATGGGGCTAAATAGATAAGGGTAGGTGAGGATGATGGAAGTGATGGTGAGGTGCATTGGGGAGAATGAAGATTAATGTCCAAGATCAAAGCTAGGGAAATAAAATTTCACTGCCAAGTCCAAAGGTCAGGGACAGAGTAGAAAATTGGACACAGAGCCAAGGTCAGAAAGCAGCAGAACTGGAAAAATGGAAATAAGCCAAGGAACAAGACCAGGCAGGGCATAATTGTTGCTAAGAATGAGTGGGCATTAGGCCTAGCTTCACTGGTTCTTAATCTAGACTCCCGCACAGAGGGGTCATACCAAGGAAGACAGGGCTGAGTTTAAGTAATATCACTAAGGGGGAACAAGAGAAACCAGGGTTTTTCAATTCAGGTCCAATATCCTCTCTGTGTTGTGCTTAAGACTGCAAAATTTGTGCACGTTCCCGAAATTGTTAAAAGGAACAGCACCCTAAAGGAATCATTTTAAGATTTGATGCCAGGCTCAGGGTGCATGCCTATATAATCCCAATGCCTCAGGAGGCTGAGGCAGAGGATCGCAAGTTCAAAGCCAGGCTCAGCAAATCAGCGAGGCCCTAAGCAACTTAGAGAGAATCTGTCTCCAAACAAAATATTAAAAAGAGCTGAGGATGTGGCTCAGAGATCAAGCACCACTGGGTTCAATCCCCTGTAAACCCCCACCCTCACCCCCGCCAAATTTCATCCAGAAGGGAAAGATCTCTGTGGGGTCTCCTCAGTCTCAACCAAAGCCCCAAGTAGTTGAGGGCCTGAGCCATCCCCCAAAGGGACAGAATCCCCCTGCCTTGAGCGCCCCCAGCACTTCTATGAAACACAGCTGCCGTCAGAATCCACTTGGGGAGGCAGAGCACTGGGGGAGTTTAGAAAACCGTGTAGGACGGACACCGGGGCGGAGGGACAGATTGAAGGGGTGTGTGAAATTTGTGCCGGCTCAAATATTAACGTGAGGCTTGCCTGCTTCTTTATAATCTGTCCGTTTCGTTTTACTGGGAAAGCAACATATTCCCGCCCCAGTATTTTGGGGATACGGATGGAGTTCTGGGGAGAGATACAAGGCCTGAACTAGAGCGATAGCTTTGTTCAATCACCTTCCGCGCCGCCAAGTGTCAGGATTCGGACTGAGAACTCCCCGCCCTCGCGACACCAGCGGCCCGCCCATCGGCCCCCCCCTCAGGARGGGCCGTGGCGCGCAGGTGTGATGTAAGCGCGTGTCGACGTCAGCACGCGCTGAGCCCGGAAGAGGCGCGGGCCAGGAACTGAGCCTACCGCTACTGCTGCAGCGCCAGGGTCCCCATGGCTCTGTGGCGGGGCTCTGCGTGTGCAGGCTTCCTGGCGCTGGCCGTGGGCTGCGTCTTCCTGCTGGAGCCGGAGCTGCCCGGTTCGGCGTTGCGCTCGCTCTGGAGCTCGTTGCGGCTGGGGCCCTCGCCCTTGCCCCCGGGATCTCTTTCCCCCGAGGGCCGGTTGGCGGCCGCCTGGGACGCTCTCATCGTGCAGCCAGCCCGGCGCTGGCGCCGCGTGGCTGTAGGGTGAGTGCCCGCAGGGCCTGGGTCTCTGGGCCTCTCTAGGAAGTGCGGGCGCTCAGTCCTCTGAGGTTCACTTTGGAGGTCGGGAGGCTACCGAGCTGTAAGATAAAGCCCGCGTGGAAACGGGTTTTCAGAAGTCCCCAGGAGGCGCCGGTGTCCGCGTTGCCCTCCTGGCAAAAGGTGTCGGATGTCTGGGTCTAGCCAATTTCGTCACCGCTGCAGGGATTCAGACTGGTTTTCACTCTGCTGGCCCCAGAGCCCTTCTTTTGTCCGGGTAGGACCAACCCTAATAGCCTTTTTGCACATCGCACTCAGCTTGTCACCTTCATGTTCAGGTGTCCATCGTTCCAACTTCCAGCTTCCTTGCTTTATGGGCGCCTGTTCTTTGGCAGCCAAAAATGTCTTACCAGTTTTGACGGCATTCTTCCTCTTGCTTCGAAAGAAGAATGTTCTCTGCCTTTATCGACTTTCTTTTGCCCTGTTTTCTGTTAATTAACGCTATCCAGTTTGGAGACCACCACTTCACTGAGATTCCCGATTTTCAAATTCAACTTCTTTTAGTCTATATCGTCAGCTTGCTGCAGCCTTCCACTCGTTTAACACGCCCTTCTAGAAACTCTTCTTCCCYAGACTTCAGTGACATTGCATATTTAAGATTCTCCCAAATCACAACGCCTCTTTTTTTGTACTCCTTTCAGGAATATAATTATTTCCCTTATGCTACCTTTAGTCCCTGTCTCAGTTTCACTTGACTTTTGCCATCAACTCAAAGATACCATACAAAAGCAGGCCTTCTGTCAAGTACCCTACTAGTTTATGTGAGTGCTGGGACCAGAAGGAGTAAGGTAGAACAAAGTTATCCTGAAAATGAAATAATTTATGTAGCTTATGTAGAGTGGTGTCAGCTTTTGAAAGTACTCAATTTCATATCAGCACATTTACTGGTTCTTAAAATGTGTTTCTTTTTACCTCTTTTGAGTTCAGGCTCTTTTCATCCACAAGTATCAGCCTCTTAACTGTCCTCCTTTCATGCATGTTCTGTCAACAGATACTTATCAACGATTTCAAGTCTGCTGGGTTCTGAGGATATGAGTATAACAAGGTCCCTTCCTCATTTGTTGAAAACTGATACATTCATTATTGTATTGATCTGCTTGGGCTGCTAGGACAAAATACCACAGGCTGGATGGCTTAAGCAGCAGAAATTCATTTTCTTGAAGTTGTGGAGCCTTATAGTCTAAAAGGTGTGGGTGTGGTTAGTTTGGGGCAAGTCTTTTCTTTGCAGCTTGCAGTTGGCTAGCTTCTCCCTGAGTCTTCACATGCATGGCCTTTCCTCTGTGTCTGCACTGCTGGTACTCTTTCTTTTATGTGGACATCAGTCTTATTGGATTAGGAACTCTCCTGTGTGACTCCATTTAACCTTAATTACTTCTTTGAAGGCCCTGTGTCCAAATACAGTCACACTGGTTAGGGCTTCAACTTATAAATTTGTGGTTGGGTAGAGGATACCATTGTCCATAACAATTGTGAAAAGTGCTTTGTTGAATTCGAGTGGTAAGAACAAAGTGTGTGCTGGGGGTATGGTTTAGTGTTAGAACTTGCCTACTTTGCTGGGATCTATCCCCAACACTGCCAGGAAAAAAAATAAATAAAATAAAAACAAAATAAGGTAGACCTATTGTCCCAAAGAAGGATTACTAATTCTTCCTAGGATAGAGTGTCAGAAAAAGCTCTAAGATGATCTTACATTTACTATTGCTGTATGATAAGTCACCCCAGAACTTAAGTAGCTTAAACAACAACCATTTTATGATCTTTTATTATCTGAGATTTGGTGGGGCTCTACTGGGCAGTTCTTGCTTGGGGTCTTAGGCAGTTATAGTTGGATGGTAGCTGGAACTGGGTTCATCATAAAGATTGATCGTGGCTGAAACTTCCAGGGGGGTTTTATCGCCTATGTGTGGCTTTTCCCTAGCTGTTTAGTTTCTCACAGCAGGAAGACTGGATTAGGAGATGGAATGTGTTGGGAGGACCAGGCAGAATCCTTAAAGTATCTTATGATTTAACCTTCAAAGTCTGTAGGGTCAGTTTTTACCAGAGTTATGGTTCTACCTGGTTTTAAGGGAGGGGTGTCACCTAAATCATACCTTAATGGGAGGAATATCAATGTCGAGTTTTAAAAYGAACATGTGGGTTGGGACATCTTGTTGGGACCATTATGAGAAATATATTCTACTACAGTGACTTGTGTAACAGCCTAGAAAAGAAATGAGACTTTTAAAATAAATAAGCAAAGGTGGGGGAACAAGTCCACCTAGGAAAGAGAACAAAATGTGAGAAAGCAATTTGGCAAGAATCTTTTGGTAAAGGAATAAGATGCTCAGAAGAAAAGTTTGGACCAAATTCCAACATGCCTTTTATGTGAGGGTACGTGATAAGGAGGCCATAAAGATTTATAAACAGGTAAATGACACTAGTTATTTATTGAAAATAATGGATGGGAATGTGAAAGGTGGATTTTGAGCAGCAGTTCATGTTTGGGGGGTTTTTGTTTGTTTGTTTTGGTATCAGAGATTGAACCCAGGGGCACTTGGTCACTGAGCCACATCCCCAGCCCTTTTTTGTATTTTAGTTAGAGACAGGATCTCACTGATTTGCTTAGTGCCTTGCTTTTGCTGAGGCTGGCTTTGAACTTGCAATCCTGTCTCAGCTTCTCAAGCTCTGGGATTATAGGCATGTACCACCGTGCCCAGCCTGCTTCACATTATTTTTATAAGTAACAAGTCCGTTAGGAACATTTCTGGTTACCCAAAGAGATTTTTAGCCTAAAGAGCGGATATGGGAGGGGTGGGTGGGAGTATATACAATACTTGAACCACAATCTCATTTTGGGTATATTCGACTTCTTGGGAGAATACACACCTATTCATGGGGTGTGTCTGTCTGTCTGTCTGTCTGTCTCTCTCTCTCTCTCTCTCTCTCTCTCTCTCTCTCATGCACATACTCAAAACAATTTAGTGTGATAGCCCTAAGAATGAATGTCTGGAGACCCTGGTTAAGAAGACATTGTAGGGTTTACGTGAGAGGATTAAGGAGTCTGACCATTGCTTAGGAATGGTGATAAAGAAAGGTAAGATTTGAGAAAGATGTGCATAACAGGCTGGATGTTTTAGAGTAAAGAAAAGCAGCCCCCAAAGACAGGTTTTTAGTTTTGGGTATCTCATAASAATCTTATGAGGTGGGCAGATACCAGTATTGTCATCTATTCATACAGATGAGTAAATAGGCTCGGACTCATTGATTACCCAAGACCACACAGCTATCAAGTGCAGAAGGTGTAATTTAAGCCCATTTCAGGTTTCATAGTCATGCCACATTGTTGTCATATTAAGAGATTTAGGAAAAAGGTGATTTGTGGGGGAAGTTAAGCTGAATTTCAGAGGAAGGGAAATGCACCTTGTGGGATTTCAAAGGAAGCTGCTCCATCAGCTGGTAAAAATGAAAGGCTGGAATTTAAGAATGCATGAAGGACCAGGGTTGCAAATTTTAGGATATTAGCTCTTGGGTTGAAGGCTATCACATCTTTGTGAGTCTTCCCCTGCTTCCAAATTGGACCCTGGTACCTATTTAACTTTGGGTAAAAGATAAAGCCCTCCTAACATTGATTCCCCTATAACTGTCCTTGCCCTGATCTGTCTTGCTCTTCTCCCTGATATGAATTCTCCATTCTAGCTAGATCTCATTCTTATTGTGTCCGAACACAAGGTTAATCCTTTCATCTAAAACTGCCTGCAYATGCTCCCTACATGGATTTCAGTATCAGATAAATCTGGGTTTGAGTTTAGGCTTGTTCAGTTTGTAGCCTTTGGAATGTTGGTTAACTCCAACTTCACTTTTCTTAGCTGAAAGCAGTAATGGCCACCTGTCTCACAGAACATTGCAAATGGGTATATTCTATCTAAAAATGCCTGTCTAGCCCTTGGTACTTCATAAAGATTGGCTCCTTTCTCTTTGCAGAGGTACCATCCAGAATTCAGCCTAGGTACAATTGCCCAGACCTCTGTGATTTCTCTACAGTTCTGTATCTTATAGGTATTATAATTCTTATAATATCTGAGACACATGTTAAAACTAGAAGGAGCCTTAGAAAACATTTTACAGCGGATGAAACAGGATGGAGGTGACAGGAAACATCATTTTTTGAGGAATTCATAGCCTCAGAGGAAGAACTGTGTCCCCCTCACCCTGCCAGCAAAAAGTCTGTACTAGTCGCCTGGAAGCCAAGGCTTCCAGTGTGCCCTGCCTGGCCCTGCAACCTCTTGTTTCARCATTCGGCATCTTTGCCTTGTTTGTTTTTTTCCAGTTATTTCATCTGTTTTCTCCAAAACCACACTATAATATTTTTTTATACATTTCTTAAGTGTGAAATTCTGCCTTCGGGTCAAATGAGCATTGCTTTGTTTTCTGGTTCTGGTTAGCTCCTATCCCTCTATTTCCCCCTGATAATAAAGCAGCTTAGGAGATTTGTTTACATTGGGGATGCTGTTGAGGAAGTGCAGAGGAAGAACCTTGCTCTGGTCAAAGTATTATATAACAAGCATATGTAAAAATACTTAGTTTGGTATCTGGCCCATAGGAGATATTTAGTAATTTTTAAAAATTAATACAAGCTTTTTATAAAAGTTATCAAATGATGATTATAAGTAGGGGATAAAAAATGCTCCTCAGTAGTTATATATTTTTTTTGTAACTCAAAATCAGTTTTGTTGGTTTGTCTTGTTTTGCAAAATGCACTGAACTCTTCATTTTGCATTACTT